CCCCCCCCCCCATCCAGGGCCCAGCCCTAGTTATCAGCTCTGGCCAATCCTGTTTCCTCGGCGTCATGGGCCATCAGCCTGGCACCTCACGGGAGAGGGACGGGTTATAAAGAGGGGAGGGACTTATCTGACCCCTACAACCCGCCCAGGAGGCCAGCGTGCAGGCCCTGGCCCTGACCCCCCATTAGTGGGCCACGGCCATGGCCACTGGCCTGCCCCCTTCATACTTTTGCTAGAGCCACACTCTACGTGTGCTATTATTTATTTAACATTTCTTTGATGGTCACCTTTTTGCCTGCATACATTTGTTTAAAGTGAAAACTTTGTATTGCTCCCATAAACGGGAAATAGGCATCATTTGCCACAAATACAAGGCATCACTAAAGATGACCGAAGGAAAAAAGCCGCTAAATTCTAAGTAGAAACTATTGGCCGCCCGCAGTGCTGAGCTCTACTGAGAATGGAGCCTGGTGCGAGTCAGAGACATGGCCGGTACCGATGGGCCCGCTCAGATTTGTGACAACCAGGAGGATTCAAACAGTTAAAATCCAGCCAGCTCTCGCTCGACGTGACTCATCTCTCATCTGAGGGCTGGTTTTTCACGTGTGAACACCTCTGATGTGAGCTGTAGCCAGCTGGCAGTCACGACCTACTTGTCACCTGCACATCACTTCATATGAGCTGTGGGCGCCTGGAGCCCTGCACCGGGTCAGTCCACTTGCCATTTAAATGTCTTCAAAAGATGTGCAGCAATGAGACAAAACATTACTGCGGCGGCCCCTGCTCCATCCGTGGGCAACACGCTCGCAGACCCCGATGGATGCCTGAGGCCGTGGGCAACACCGATCCGACGTACACTACTTTCTCCTGCAGACACACACCTGCGATGAAGTTTAATTTATATATTAGGCACGGTCAGAGATTAATAGTAACGTAAATTAGAAAATTGTAACAATATACCAATGGAAATTATGTGAATGGCCTTGTAATAATATACCAATGAAAATGATGTGAATGGCATTAAGTAAAACGAGAGTGACTTAAACACAAGCCCTGTGACAGCAACAGTCGCTGCTGGAACCCTGTAAAGGGACGGCCTGTCACGTGACAGACTCTAAGCCCGGAGGCGGGAGAAACTGCCACCAACCCCCCGGAAGATGAGAGGAATTCTGGAGCAAGGCATGGCTGGTGTGGCCAACTCATGTCACACAGGATCACCAGGAAGGCCGTGCCATAGTTTAATTGGCAGCGTGTTTTTCTTTCTTAGAGGTTCATAAAATAATGGTGCATCTTACAAGCAAAGGCACCTCGAGTGTGATGAACCGCGGTGCTCGATCTGAAATCTCTGCTGCACGGAAACACTCCTGCACCGCCCCTCGCCGCCTCACTGTGCCCCCAGGCCGGGCACTGAACGCAGGGCCACCTCCTCCAGAGCCCGATCAGTCACCTGGGGGGGCTCGTGAACAACCAGGCTGCTGGACCCCACCCCAGGGCACCTGACTCGGTCAGTCTGGGGCCTGAAAATTTGTTCCTGCAAAGCTGCTGGGCCACCTGGCCCTGCCCTGTCGTTTCCATCATTAAAGTCCCCTGCATCCTCTGCTCCTTTCGGCTGGGTGGGGGTGAGTGGGAGTGTCTGGGTGGTGCTAGACCCAGGTGGGAGCCACCGTCCTTGGGGACATCTCGGAAGGCGGCGTCTCTGGCATCGTTTGCTGCTAGGAGAACGTGATTTGTAGCATAGGCTGGGCTGGGAAAGCTCTGGGAGGCCCCCCACCCTTCTCAAGAACTTCATAAACTAAGGCGACGGCTTTAAATGCTGGGGATCAAGGCCCTGAGCGAACCCAGCAGACTTGGCGGGAAGCTGTTCATAGTAATATTGAGGTAAAAACTCAGGACAAACAAGCCAGGCACACCAGCTGGTGCCTCGGGCAGGGCCCTCTCCCTTGGGGGGGCGGGGAGGGTGGTGCGTGCTTCTGGTTTAGTAAAAAGCAGCATCCGTGCACTTTTTTCTCAAAAAGGACAATATATTTTTTGAGTTGCCAGAATCTTTGAAATGGAAGATTTGCCAACACTGCCCTTTCTCCTGAGAGCAAAAAAGCAGAAAAACCTGTCCTCAGACACAGACATCACTAAGTGTTCTCTCCAAAGGCCAGGTCTGCTCGGTCTCTGACTGACCGCAGGCGGGCTTTCAGAAACGGGAGTGGCCCGGCCGCCGTGGCTCAGTGGCACCGGGTCACAGTTTGATTCCTGGTCAGGGCACATGCCTGGGTTTCGGTCTCGGTCCCCGGTGGGGGTGTGGGGGTGGGTGGATTGTTTCTCTCTCATCGACGTTTCTCTTTCTCCCCCTTCCTTTCTCTAAAATCAAGGAAGAAAAAAAAAGCAAGAAACGGAGCCTTACCCTGGGTACAGGTTTATTGCTTATAAAAATAAGTTACAAACAGAACAGCACACCCAGCGCGACAATGTGTGTGAACATGGGGCTCATCCGGACCATGGGCTCACGGGAGTGACTGGGAACACGATCCAGGAGGGTGGAGCGCCAGCATCGCCCACGCCACGCGCTGCACGCTCCTCACACTGGGCGCTAAGGCCTCTGCCCCCCGCACGCCCGCGAGTGTCCCATCAGACGGAATCTGTCCTTCCAGAGGCTCAGGCCTCGCGAGCGGCATGCGTCTTACGGGGGGCGGGCTGTGCGGACCTGGGCCCGGCAGGGCGGGGTCACTGCCGGCAGGTGTCGTGGAAGGCCTCGAGGGTCCGGAAGTCCCTCCAGGTGGGGGGCAGGCCGTCCTGCAGGAACTTCCCGCAGCGCTGGCAGGGGGCCTGGAACAGCTTGATGTAGCTCCGCAGCCAGGTCTGGAAAGAGAGCGGGGACAGGAGTGAAGACACGGGACCCGGCGCCGCCGGCGGCATCCTTCCTGCCAACCTAACGGCCGCGAGGACAGAGGCCTTAGGGTGGCTGCGCGGAGCCCACAAGGTCACGGGCTGCTACTGCAGTTCTGCCCCCACCCGCCCCGGCCCCGAGGGAGCGTTTGAAACAGAGATTCCCCTCGGGCAGGACGCGCTGGGAGGCGGGCCGCGACCTGGCCGTGAGCTCGCTGCGCCCGGCGGCCGTCGGGACAGGGGATCGATCCTTCCCGGTTCACCACCCACCCACGGCCGTGCAGAGGGAGACCTCGCATCGCTGTCGACTTGATTTCTCCACCGGGGCTGACCTGCCTCCTGCCTAATCGGATTCCAGGGTCATCCCTCACCGTCACAGTGAGGCCTGGGGTGGGGGTGGGGACAACCCCGTGCCACCAAGTAACATAATAAGCGGCAAAGACACACCCGAGCGGTTCAGGGTGCAGAGTCCTCGCGGGCGCCATGAATAAGGATGAGGCGCACGTAATTCAATTCTCCCGCCGCTCAAGGAGACTCGCCCCCCACACACTCACACGCACACACACACACACACTCACACTNCAGGGTGCAGAGTCCTCGCGGGCGCCATGAATAAGGATGAGGCGCACGTAATTCAATTCTCCCGCCGCTCAAGGAGACTCGCCCCCCACACACTCACACACACACACGCACACACACACACACACTCTCACTCACACCGACAGGTAAGCAAGTTCGCGCTGTGACGGGCTCACGAACCTCGTCATTTAAGGTCGCCTGGAATTACGTCCGTGGGGGAAGGCTGGTGTCTGAGGAGTCGCAGGTCTGTGGCTACACATTCCCCTCTGCATCACAGCCGCCTTCACAGGGCAGCCTGTGCCCCAGACACCGCCCCCTTCCGGCGTCTGTGTTGGAGATTTTTAAAAAAATTCAGTCTCCATAGAGACTCAAAAATTGCCAGTGCCGACTACATTTCAAGTCGTCATGGCGGGGTACCGGGAATTTCAATGAGCAACAATCGAGTCTGGGACAAACTGCGCGCACAGCCGCGGTGGAGGTTTCCGGTCATTGAGTTAAACTATTTATCCTTTGGTGCTGATCAGGTTCAAATGGTCCCCAAATTCCCAAGTAAGTCACACTAGGTTAAAAGCCAGCCTCTGTCTACCCAAACACAAAGCCGCTGGGGACGGCCGGCTGACTTGCTCCCTGGGCACGCGAAGGAGCCGCCGGGCGGACGGCTGGCTGAGCACCTGGGCTGGCGTAAGCTCCCGGCACCAGGAGCCAGGTTTGTGTCTTCCAAGAAATGAACTGCAGGCTCCCTAAGAAGCTCACCTGTTGCGGCAAACATGACGGGATAAAGGGCTCGAGCAATACCCCGCCCAGCCGCCACCGCTGGGGCCCGCTGACAGGCATGTGCTCCCGCGGGCGCTCTGCCTGGCAGCCCCGCTGGCAGGAACCGGAGGCGCGGCCAGGACCTGCGGAGCCAGTTGCTGGTCCTGCCTCGGCCAGCGGGCGGTCACGCGATGAATTTGGGCAGCAGAGGGCTGCTGAACTGGCTCTGGAGGTCGGGGGAGCAGTCCTGACTCGTAGTGTTTGCCACTTTCCATGGTATAAATGTCTAAGTCTGACTCCAACCTACCAATGGCTGAACAATCAGCTCGCANCTCACTCACACCGACAGGTAAGCAAGTTCGCGCTGTGACGGGCTCACGAACCTCGTCATTTAAGGTCGCCTGGAATTACGTCCGTGGGGGAAGGCTGGTGTCTGAGGAGTCGCAGGTCTGTGGCTACACATTCCCCTCTGCATCACAGCCGCCTTCACAGGGCAGCCTGTGCCCCAGACACCGCCCCCTTCCGGCGTCTGTGTTGGAGATTTTTAAAAAAATTCAGTCTCCATAGAGACTCAAAAATTGCCAGTGCCGACTACATTTCAAGTCGTCATGGCGGGGTACCGGGAATTTCAATGAGCAACAATCGAGTCTGGGACAAACTGCGTGCACAGCCGCGGTGGAGGTTTCCGGTCATTGAGTTAAACTATTTATCCTTTGGTGATCAGGTTCAAATGGTCCCCAAATTCCCAAGTAAGTCACACTAGGTTAAAAGCCAGCCTCTGTCTACCCAAACACAAAGCCGCTGGGGACGGCCGGCTGACTTGCTCCCTGGGCACGCGAAGGAGCCGCCGGGCGGACGGCTGGCTGAGCACCTGGGCTGGCGTAAGCTCCCGGCACCAGGAGCCAGGTTTGTGTCTTCCAAGAAATGAACTGCAGGCTCCCTAAGAAGCTCACCTGTTGCGGCAAACATGACGGGATAAAGGGCTCGAGCAATACCCCGCCCAGCCGCCACCGCTGGGGCCCGCTGACAGGCATGTGCTCCCGCGGGCGCTCTGCCTGGCAGCCCCGCTGGCAGGAACCGGAGGCGCGGCCAGGACCTGCGGAGCCAGTTGCTGGTCCTGCCTCGGCCAGCGGGCGGTCACGCGATGAATTTGGGCAGCAGAGGGCTGCTGAACTGGCTCTGGAGGTCGGGGGAGCAGTCCTGACTCGTAGTGTTTGCCACTTTCCATGGTATAAATGTCTAAGTCTGACTCCAACCTACCAATGGCTGAACAATCAGCTCGCAAAACTGGGGTTTACAGGAGCCGGCAGGAGCGGATCCAGCACGCCACGGGGTGGCTGTTTGGGGTCATTTCTCATCCTGAGCCCCAACTCCTTTAACCGAAGGATGATATGTCCTGGGAGACACGTGAGGTTATCTCAGTTACTGTGGCCTGCTCAGCGCCCAGCACAGGGCCTGGCTAAGACCAGGAGCTCACCAAACACCTACTGACTGTTGGAAACCTCTGGGCGATCACTTCCGAAACCTCCAATTGTTCCGCAATGATAGAAGAACACCTTAACTAAGCGGAAAAGGCTTCTCCTAAATCCCTCCCAGCTTAGAGGGAGCATCATTTCGATGCTGGTCCACCTGTGCTGTGAGGCGCGTGCCGTGAGGAAGGACAACCCCTGCCCCTGCGAGCCTCACTCGAGGGAGGGGAGTCGAGGTTTACGCGAGTCTCAGCTCTGACACCCGCTTACCATGAAGGACCTGACCACGACATCCGGCATCTGGGGCAGCTGGTAGTGGAGCAGGGCAGTGGTGGCATGGTCCGTCACCTGGAACCAAGGACAACGACCGAGTCAGAGGCCACGCCAAATCCAGAGAAAATAAGACACCTGCGTTCCTTTTAGATCACAACCAAGTCTGCGTTTGAGCCCCCCGGAGGGAGGGACATCTGAAATAAGATCTGAAGTATGAAAACCAGTCTGCAGAGTTGGGGCACGGAGGGGAGGGGGGCGGGAGGCAGAGAGGAAGAAGGTGTCCAGGCCCGAAGGCCAGCGAACCTGAGAGGAGGGGTGTGGCCGGGGCCAGTGGGAGGTGGAGGGGCCGAGGAGGGGCTATGAGCGGTCACTGCATGCCCGGCTGCATGAGTGCGTAGGAGCTCTCGAGCGGCCCCACTTCCCTGCACACTGGACCAGGACCCCAGGGAAGTGACCGTTCTTGCCGCTTCCTCCCATCTCATTCTGTTTCATGATTTGTAGCCACACAGGTTTTAGGATCAGGAATATGGTCTTTCTGAGGATCTTTCCCTGGGGCCTCACTACTGCTATCCTTCTGAGGCCCCTTGCCACTCAAAGTGCAGTCCTCTCGCCACCCTCCAAAGGGCGTGGTCTGTTTCAGCCCCTGGAGGCCACAGCCCCCCGATTCCACGCAGAGGCTCTGTCAGCAGGGTGAAGGGCACAACTGCTTTAAGCCCACTAGAGGCATCGGCGACCAGATGGATCCCACTGGGCATAAGCCCTGGCGCCGTCCGCTGACCCTGATCCAAACACTTAATCTCTCTGGGTCTCGGTGCTTCTGGAAACAAAGGGCTGATCTGAGGTCCCTTGCAGGCCTGAAACTTAATGACTCCACGATTGCTAATGCCTGCCATCCATCAACAAATTAATAGGCTACATCTAATTTGACGGTGATGCTCGAACACATGGTTTACTTGATTGTCCTCATTAGGGATTCTGGCCCTTACAGATGCTGCGTCTGAAAGTGAAGCGGCACTCTGTGCACAGGAACACACCATGGTCTACCTTGTGCCGACCCCTTGGCTTCCAGCACCCACCAGCACCGTGTGATGTGCTGGGCCTAAGGGCAGTTAAGCATTAGTCAGGTGGACTCGAAAGGGCCGGTCCAGGCCCCACACACTCTGAGTTGTAAATGACCCAGAAATGAGTCCAGCTGCGGGTCTACCCCCAAGGCCACCGAGGCCATGCCCCTAAGAGTGAGGGCGCAGGCCCCCCAAGCTCACAGACCCTCTCTGAGCCCAGTTTCCTGACCTCCAGCCTGCCTCCCGTCTCTCTGCTCTCCCTGGACTTGCCCTCTGCCCCCACTGGCTTTCATGGCCTGCTTGGTGGCCAGTGAGCCCCACTAGATGATCAGCTTTGTGGGGGCAGGGATCACGTCTATCTGGTTCCTGCCATGTCCCCACGGCCTAGAACATCACCTGGCATCTAGCATGTGCTCCATACATATTTGTTGAGTAAAGAAATGAACTTAAAAGTGCCCACTCACCAAAGGCCACATACCAGAAACACCTGCTTGGCTTTCTTGCAAACACAGCAAATGGTTCACGTGTCCAATGTTGCCGAGAAATTCTTACCCAGTCTTTCAGGATAAATGGCGCGTATTTCTTCAAGTGCAAAGACTGTTTTTATTTTAAGCATTTTTGACAGACAGCTTTCTAAAATGAGCAACTTTTTTTTAAACAGTAGCGATGATAACTTGGTAAATTGGCAGGTGGGGAGTGGTGGGGTGAAACTAACCGGGACAAAACAGCCAAGCTAACTCGGCCCTAGTGGTACCTGAGCTGAGAGCTCGGTCCTTCCCTGTCCAGGGGCCTTGCTAAAAACCCCGGGCAAGTGCCATTTTATAAGCTGAGGAGACATTCCTGACAACCACATTTGCCTTACAAAAGAAACCAAGTTTCTGGAGAATTCCTTCTCCTGCACCTATTTTTTTTTTTTTTTAAGATATCTTTATTGATTTCAGAGAGAGGAAGGGAGAGGGAGAGAAACATCAATGATGAGAGAGTCATTGATCGGCTGCCTCCTGCAAGCCTGGACCGCGGATTGAGCCGCAACCCAGGCATGTGCCCTGACCGGGAATCGAACCGCAATCTTCTGGATCATAGGTCGATGCTCAACCACTGAGCCATGCTGGCCGGGCTTCCTTTGGCAATTTTTAACATGAATGACTAGCATTTAAATTCAGGAAACTTTACCTAACTTGCATCTCCAGCTTCAACTGAAGTACCAGGAGATCTGGGGCAGTAACTGTGGGCCTGTCGCATGGGTCACTGTGCGGATGAGTCCCGCCATGTGACCTGCTGGGGCAAGGCCTGGCCCCCGCCTATCCACTTGGCGGCCATCAGAGTGAGTCCAGGAGGAGCAGCCATTGGGATGGGGG